GTGTGTGTGTGTGTGTGTGTGTGTGTGTGTGTGTGTGTGTGTGTGTGTGCGCACATTTGATGTTGTGGTTGCTCTAACTTCCGCAAATATTGAGATATCGGGCTGTTTTTTTTTTTTAATCGATAGAGTATCATTCAAGGAAGGTTGGTATTGAATTTGGCGATGATCGGTAAAGAGGTTCTTTTTTAAAAAAATTTTGAATTTTTTTAGAAATGTCCGTGGTTGCTCTAATTTCCGCAAATTTGGAGATATCGATCTATTTCTAATTTTATTATATTTTTTAGTCTTTTCTACCCCTATTTTATATATAATTTTTTAAAATTTGGTTGATTAGACCCAGCTTTATACGCGATCAAAGATCCATAATTTTGATCGAATATAAAGCTAAGTCTAATCAACCAAATTTAAAAGAATTATATATGAAATAGGACTAGAAAAGACCAAAGTTAAAAATTGTTTTTTGCGTTTTCGATGCCATTGGTTGATTAGACCCAGTTTTATACGCGATCAAAGGTCCATAATTTTGATCGTATATAAAGCTAAGTCTAATCAACCGAATTTAAAAGAATTATATATGAAATAGTAGGAAAGACCGAAGTAAAAATTGTTTTTTGAGTTTTTGATGCCAATGTGTTGCTTATGTTCGAAAACGTCGAATATTTGAGGATTGGCTATCCATCAAATAACTTAGGGTAGATTGTACCCTATACATTTTTTAGGCAGAAATCGGTAACCCTTTCACTAATCTTCGCCAAATTCGAAACAACCTCCCTTTAATGATACCTTATATATAAGATTACGTGTATGATTTGTACACTTTTTAGGCAAAAATTGGTAATCCCTTCACCGATCATTGTCAAATTCAACACCAATATATCTTTAATGATACTCTATCCATAAAAAAAGTGTGCAAGTAGAAACTTGCACATTGCTTCCTCATAGTTTTTAAGTGTGCAAGTAGAAACTTGCACATTGCTTCCTCATAGTTTTTTAGTGTGCAAGTAGAAACTTGCATATTGCTTCCTCATAGTTTTTAAATGTGCAAGTAGAAACTTGTACATTGCTTTCTCATAGTTTTTAAGTGAGCAAGTAGAAACTTGCACATTGCTTTCTTATAGTTTTTAAGTGTGCAAGTAGAAACCTGCATTGCTTCCTTTATGAGGAAGCCAAATTAATAAATATCTACTAATATTTATGCATACAAAAACAGCCCGATAAAAACAGTAGCAATGGACGTGGATCCACGTTATTGCTACGTGGATTCGTCGTGGATTCGACGAAATTACGTGGATTCGACGTGGATGTGACGTGACTGTTTTTATCGGGAGGCTTCCTCATAGAGGAAGCAATGTGCAGGTTTCTACTTGCACACTTAAAAACTATAAGGAAGCAATGTGCAAGTTTCTACTTGCTCACTTAAAAACTATGACTAAGCAATGTACAAGTTTCTACTTGTTTTTGCTTCGACGGCTTAGTGCCAGAATTACCTTGTTCAATTTCGTATTTCGTAAGAGACTGGCAATTAAGACTTCAACAAATTAACAAATTTATATACCGACAAATTGCATGCTTGTATCTTTGTATTAAAAGCGTGATGCGAACCCTCAACGGTATTATAATTTGTTCGAGCAGAATCACCATGCAAGCACCGACTGATAATGGTTCCACAATTCAACGCTAAATGCCGGACCACGCCTCCGATTACGCCGGCCAATTATTCCCACCCACGTGCTTTCGAAATAATGTATAAATACTTTCAATTTATCGATGTTCGGCAAATAATACGGACAATTCACGAGCGCATCGAAACCTGCATGAATTTTGTCTTCTGACACAAATACTAACGCGCAAAGCATTCGAACATTAATTGCAAAGTAGCCTTGTTGCAGTCCTTAGACCGTCGTGAGACACATTAGTTTTACCCTACTGATGACCAGTCATTGTGATAGTAATCCTGCTCAGTACGAGAGGAACCGCAGGTTCGGACATTTGGTTCACGCACTCGGTCGAGCGGCCGGTGGTGCGAAGCTACCATCCGTGGGATTATGCCTGAACGTCTCTAAGGCCGTATCCTCTCTATAGTCAAAGGTGGCAATGATATATCTAGGAGTCTCATCATAGATGCACTTTGCGGCTTTGCAATATGGTTCAATAATAATGCGAAAAATTACGTAAATTTTAATAAAAAATAATTATTTTAGTGTAAAACAAGCGTTATCCGACCTATGCGCAATATTAGATAATTTAGCGCGTCAATAAGAAAATCAGCGTTCGTCGTACGAAAAAAATACAAGGGTTCTTTTTTGTTGCAAATTTCGTCCACAACAAGACGCATATGATAAAGTTTGTCTCAAATAAATTCTAAGGCCTGAAAACAGCGAAAAACTAAGACTATTCCAAAAAATCAAAATTTTTTGCTTACATAGCTACAAACTAAAGCAAAAGGGTCTAAAAAATCGGTTACACCCTGGAAAGTATTCTTTGTAGTTCTCAGATGATGTGTGATTTTTTGGGAATTTTTAATTCCATTTTAAATGACAGAAAAAAATCACCGACGCAACATCAAAAAAACGATGAAATCGAGGGTTTTCGGGATCCGAGTCTCGGACTTTGACGGCGCGTGCAAGCTAAACGACTGACTTGACGATAAATGTTATTCAGATCATTATTGTAGATAATTTTACGCTCTACAAAAAAGGTACGTATAGTTAGTTACCCTATCTTGCTCAGTTTTTGAGATATTTGAGAAAAAATAAAAAAATAGCGTTTTTTGTTGATAATATTGTTAATAACTTTTTAATGCGCATTAATTTTGCGAAGCAAAATAAATCCCACTTACAGCACCTCAAATCAAAGCGATTTATGGTGGTTGCAACCTGGGAAGAGTAATTGGAAGGTTAACCCCCTAAATTAGTCTAATATGACTGGCCTATTTGCTTTCTTCCGCATTTGCGCTCTCACAGACTGGACTTCAATTAATGCTTTATTAGGCGCATGATTGTGGTCAGTTTCATGCAATATGATTCCTGCAGCACAATTCACAGTATTACAAGCAAGAAAACAAAATGTTTTTACCCGCAACTACCATAAAAGAACGAAAATATCACATATCAGTTCGCATTATCGACGATGTGTCACACAATAATC